TGAGAACCAAAGAGAGGCTAATGTACGATATCAGCTTTGCATGGTATATTTATCTCAACAGTCCCAGCCCTTTTGGACTGGAACATATTTGAGAAACTGCTGTGGCTGCCACCACAAAATGCCTAATGCTGACTTGGTGTCTATCTGTTGTGTTCATAGATCTTAGGCTGTGTCTTAATCAGCAAAAAACATTTGTTTCATTTCTGTTGTATACTTCAACATGTCTGTAATAAGGAATTGTCTAACCCGGCTAATTGCTGGTGGTGCAGTTGAATGAATAATTCTCCTAAACACATGTTTTGGCAAATATGCAGTAGTTGCTTGTTGGGGGAGGTTAGCACACAGATCAATTTTGTATTGGAACAGTCGTTAATATTCATTTTAAATTACATGTATTCATGGAAATCAACAAATGGAAGGGGAGATGGATTCTTTATTCCTTCTTACAACTAAAAGATCAATCATAAAATTGGAAGGATAAGCACTCATCTTCTGTAATGTAATGGCTTAAGGACTTTGCAACACTTTCAATATATGAATGGATGGCAACTTCAGATGGATACTTATTTGGATATTCGGTCTGCTTGTGTTGAAGTTGCATGCATTTCATAATCTAGGTAAAGGGGGGGATCAAAATTCTGTGTTTTTTAAATTTTGGGTGCTTGCAAGTACCACATTGGGGCACTCTGATCTATCTTACAAGTGATAAAACTCTAGAAACAACATGTATATTTGAACAGAAAAAATATTGCAGCCTGGGATACACTGAGAGGTGTAGGGCTTTTTTCTGTCTAAAGATACATAGAACTGCATTCTTAGTAGAATATTTCACTGTTTACATGTGTTTACATAATTTTTGATTAATGCCATAAGTGAATAGAAGAAAAGAATAGTCTAGTAGTTGGGCTGTTTCTTTGATGTCTTCTAGAAACCTTAAAGATGCCATTTTCTGTATGTTTTATTTCAAGTGTGATGCTGCTGTTTATCTGAATTGTATTTGATGTTGCTCTGTTTATTCTGGAGTTAATGGATGATAGCAGTTTAAATATTGTGAGTTGCCTTGTGAATATTTTTTGGTTAAGTGATGGATAAAATAGTGTAAATAATTGGGAGGCCTTCTTCAGCACTCACATTTGTATTTTTTTCGATAGGAATGCCCTGCTTCTAACCACTTTGATTCTTGGGGAAGTATTTTAGGTGGCTCAGAACTGCAGCAAGTTGCAGCATAGTCACCTGAATGATTCCCTAAGCCATTTGGGATGACCCAAATTTCCAAAAAGTGAGCTTAACCAATACATGCTCCCACTATTTGAGAAATTAAATTGGATTCATAATAAGTTAGTGAACTCTTGTCAGAAGAATCAGCTGGCAGAGTGTTGCATCAAAATGTTGAAAAAGGCTTCAATTGCTGGATATTTACTTTCCCATCAGAAATGGGAATAGCAAAGTAGTTCTATGTCTGGTTTTTGAGTTCTGAGATTTATTTCTGGAGAAAGAGTGTTGTGACTGCCCGATAGGTGCATTCTACAGATGATTAAAATAAAGTGCATTCTACTGTCTGGCTTACATAATGAGCAAATGGGTACTATTACCTATAAAATTTGTACAGTTGAGATTATGAGATGAACTTGGAAAGTATATACAAGCTTTAAACTGCTTAAGACTTTTCCATTTTAAAGTAATGAACCTGTTGGCTACACAAGTTGATTTGACCTGCTCCTCTGCGTGCCTTACCCCAGGGCGAGTTAACTCCCACATTCAGGACACATTAAGTAGAGCTACATTGTTAATGTCTTGGGCTTACCCTAGCAATAGATGCTTTGTGCCCAACACTTAGTTATTGGGTTTGCCCATGTGTAATCTGGAAACTTTCCTTCCAGTGGAAATAGCCTCTGTGGAGCTGGGACTGCAGCAGTAGTAAGACGTAATAGCTCCCCTGCCAGGGTCCCAATCCGAATGGTGGTCTCCCCCACAACTTCTAATTACTTTTTAGAAACCATTCATGCAGTTAGTAATTGCATGAATGGCATCCAACCTAATTTGGTCATAATTTTAATTATTTAATTGTACATCTATCCTTGTCAGCAACTGTGTGTAATCTTTACCTTCCATAATCAGTATATTTATCTTTACTAAGTTATGTGCAATTAAGAAAGCATTCATTTTCAGTTAGTAGCTGATGGTTTTCAGCAATAGTTTTGCCAGTTTGGGGAAGATGGCCTCACTAGATAATGTTTTGCTCTTTTCTTTCCATCAGAAAATGGTATATGGTAGGGACTTTGATCAGCGTTTGAATGTAGCAATATTGAATAAGGGTGTGATGGATATCTGTACTGTGTGTTGTCTTTGAATTTACATGTATACCACACAGGCTCTCTGTCCAAATTAACTACTCAGCTATCCCTTCCATTTAAATCTTTTCTTTCCCAAACAGAGAGACCTTCCATTTAAATCTGCATGTTAATTGTTGCCACAAGAGGGTATGAAAAGGCATGAGAAGTAAAGGAACTTGCTGAGGAGGCTGAGTGCTTCAAGGGTGATCTGCCCTATCTGTGTTCCATTCCTCCTCTTATACAATCATTGCTTTCTGCTGCTGTGGCTGGTTGTATTTATTCCGGCATGCTCATTAAAAATATTTTAAGCTTTTGTGCTGAATCCACAGAGATGACCAAAAAAGAAAAAAAATCAGCCGGTCGTGTTAAGCTTCACCTTCATATTTTTAACCATTTGTGTGACTTGGGGTGAAAGTGTGCGCATTGTAATGCCACACATTAAGGCTCCTTGTGAACTAAAAATCCTGTCAATTTTTTCGACCCGTCTGAGCGCTTGATTGCATTTGTACCTGCAAGGGAACAGAACTGGTTTCTCCATGGGTTCTCTACATATCATCTTGTCTGTGTTGACCTGGATTGATTTGCTTGACTTGCAGTAAAGAAGAAGCACAAGTCTTCACGTGGCCTATGTTTGGCTACCAGAAATAGTCATGGTAATATTTTACTGGGGAATCATCTGAGTAAAACACCCAAAGGATGATTGGTCTAAGCTGATAATTAGGAAGCTTTGTCTTTCCATTACAGCTTAAAAACTCACTTTGATATCTAAAATTTGCCTGCTAACACATAGGAATTTGAAATATTTTCTAGCTATGCAATTCCAAGTCTTAGTGGATCAGTTATTGTGGCAGTCTGGTCTGAGTGCTATCAGGAGTGAGCATATTATAGTCCTACAGTCTGAACGGAGATACTGTTTTGGACTGTGGCTGAGGAGACATGGATACTGCAGAAGTGAAATGCTGAGAAGCAACAGTTTCCTCTTTACATCTCAAGAGTTCAGAGTTCAGGTCATAAAGCTGGTGCATCTCCATGGACAACCCACAGCCTATCCATTCTGAAATGGCTGTGGGGAATACGGCTTCTTCATGGACAATTCTGCTAACTGTTTGTGCAGATGCAGAGTTGGGAACCTGTTCCTTTAAGTGCTTTGTACAAACCTGGCATCATGCCCAGCCATGTCTCTTCTTCCCACTTCAAGGCTGTTCCTTTGGGGCTCTCTCTGAAACAATACTGTAAGCTACCCTGCCACTGTGCTTGCTCTCCTTCTCCAGAAGTGCAGCCTTACCCTGCAGGCTTCTTTTGAATGACCAAACAGCTCTGCTTCGAGGGATGACAGCAAGTTGCAAAGTTAGAAGTGGCAATGCACCCTGAGTCTGGATCTGCAGAGAACTTCATTGCTGTCATTTGGAAACATTGATATGGATAATGAACCCAGCAGTCTTCAAAGTATGTGGGAAGGCAACCCTGAGTTCAGCTTCCAGTTTTGGACCCAGCTTTTTCTGTGGATGTACTTGTTTGGCCGACTGGTCAGTTACATTTCACATAACTTTGGAAGGATAAAGCAATAACTCCTTCCTGATCCGTGTAGCTTGTTTGGTTCTCCAGATAGCTACTGCAACATCCATTTCTTGTCCTGGACCTAAGATCTCTCTAACAAGCCATCTGCTGAGGAAGACATCTGCCTAATCCCTCTTCCCTTCTTTGCCCCACCACCTCCATTCTCTGTTGCTGGTGGCTTCATATATGAATAGCTTCTTAACCTTGAGATAAGGACAATACAAGAGACTGCTTTTCTTTTGTGCTAGTCATCTGCTCTGTTTGGACTGTGCAACTGCCCATGCATCTTTTTTGCTTCATTTACAGGATATAAGCACTTTGAAACTTCATAGAAACAGATTCCACAGGTCATGCTTAAGGTGACTATCAGTGTGATAATGAATATTTAAATTTAAATGCTGTGTGGGTACTTGGAAAGGAGAGTTCCATCTCCAGAACATAGGAGCATCCAAGGGAATATGGGCTTGAACAAACTCTTACTTTGCATTTGTATCTTACGCTTCATGCCATGGCTCACCCCATCTGCAGCGTGAGTTTTTTTGGTTTGGGGTGCTATGACTTCATCAGGATAGACTGTGTCTGGAATTACTGCTCCTACTTGTTGAAGGATTATTCTGTCCTGGAAAATAGGAGGGCTTCCCTACCTGCTGAGATCCTTGTTTGCCCTATCTTTAGCCCTAAGGGTGAAAGAGATTCGGAGAATCTCTGAGCTATTTTAAGCCAGATTGCGTGGCCCTCACTACTGTTGATTTGGCAGGCCTCCCTCCCACTGTATTAATCAAATCTGCCCGCTGTTCACCCTCTGACCAGCTGTGTAAGTGACTAGGCTCCCTGTATTTGTTTCTGAACACAGTGAGAGAACATGGAATGGACTATCTTGGAGTCTTCATGGACATAGTGGGGGTTGGAAAATCCTGGCATGCACATGGAGAGCTGCCCTGGAGAGCTACATGCCGCTTGCTTTGAGCTGACATGAGCGCTTTGGTCCAGGGAGGTGGGTTTGATGGAAATTCTCTCCTGGTTAGAAGTCGAGAGCAATCGCTCAAGCCAAATGCCTGTCTCAATCAGCTGGAGGGGAATGTAAAGAGCTCTGCTGAGATTGGAACTGTGTCTGCTCACCACTTGCTGCCTTTACCCTTCTTATCCTGTTACGGGACAGGAAAAGCGTTGTGCCTGCCCCTACCTGTTGGCAAAAAGCAATGCCTGAAGAGAGTGCTTTACTAGATCCTGACTGAGCTCCGGATTGTGTTTGCTACAAGAACAGAGCTGGGGTGGATGAAAAACTGGGGATTAAAATTAAAGGGTAACATGAACCATGGAGCTGAGGTGAATTCTCGAAACTCCAGCAAGAACAAAGGGTATAAGATGTCGGCGCTGCAGAAACTGGAGAGTCTGGCAGGACGGATCTTTTACTGGGGGCCGCGAAGTGATGCAGGGGCACCCGATTGCGGAGAGGCTGCCCATGAATCGGAGCACACTGCAGTCTGGAATGAACAGAGTGAGTTGGCAACTGAGTACGGCTCCCAGGGGTACAGGAACATGGGGTCCTCTGAGGCTCTGCTTCCACAGTAACCTTGTAGCAAGATGCTGCTGCTGTTTTCCCCTAGTGGTGCATGTGTGTATTTGTGGCTGAGAGTGGCACAAGACTCTGAAGCCATCTTCTGCTCTCTTCCAAAGCAGCTCACAAATAGAGACAGCACAGTTTTGACAGCCATTTTGGCTGTGATTGCTGCCCATCCCATTCCCTTTGCTAAATAGCCTGGTTCTGAAGTTCAGGCAGGTAACTTTCAGTGGCGCACTGACTTCCATATATGTGATTGTGATTTTGGCTCTCGAGCTGTACCAATCCAGCAAGCCCACAGAATCAGCTGATCTTCACTGCTAGCCCCCAGTGACTGAAACCTGACACTTGCTGAATCACCTTTACAGGTTCTAACCCTGTGAGGGTAATAATCTGATGCCCTTCAGATGTTTTGCATTATGACTATCATAATCCCTAATCCATATGACCTGTGGTCAGGAATGTGAAAAGTTGTGATCCAAACATCTGCAAGGCACCAGAGTGCCTATCATTGGGCTAGTACACTGAAGGAGAGGGTACAGTCCAGATAGAAAGGATGACTTGTCCAAAATAAAATGGGAGACAAGTCCAAAATGCATATTACATGCAATGGTAATCAAGCAGTCACTATAATAGGCAAAGACATTTTGAGTGGAAGCAGTTGAGAGTATAAAAGTGGGCGGCGGAGACATTTTCCAGACCATGATTTCCCCACTCCAAGTTTTGTCTCTCCCAGATGAGAAGTCTTGAAGAATAAAATAAAATTTGAAACAAGGAGATGTTAAATAGAAAAGTTTTCCCCCTCCCTATTCTACTCCCAACTGCTTCCCACTCAGAATGGCTCTACTTGCTCTAAAACAGCTGTTGAATTATGTCTATATGCATTTTCAGTATGCTGCATGCTCTGGGCTATGGAAAGAAAAAAAAATATTTTTGATTACCCAGAGTGAGCAAAGTTGAAGCAGTTGTGGATGTTCTCCCACATTTTGGAGAGATTTTTAAGTGTTGGTGGATGAGCAAACTGTCTTTGCACTTATGCCTTTTCATTTGTGCATTTCAAACATTTGTTCTAATTGTGAGAGATTTCCTCTGGCTTCTCATTTGGTATCCTGTTTCACTTTAAATGTTTGAGTAGACTTTTTGATGTAGGGAATTTCAGTTCTAGGTTGATGAAACATTGTGGGCCAATTTACGCAACACAAATGCGGTCAATTAAACATGGTGGCTTGTCAAGCATTCTGTAAATTCCAGTCACATGCCATTCTGATGTACTTAATCACCCTTGCTGGGTATGGCTTCTTATCTCATCCAGACTCAATGAAGGTTGCTTTTTGCAATGGTTAGCAAACCACCCGGAACCCATGGCCTGTTGTAGGGTTGGGGGTGGTTTGTTAACCATTTCAACAAGCCACCCTTGCCAGATTCAGCCAACACAAGAAGCTGTGGTAGGATGCTTGAACTGGCAGCCTGGCACTTGCAGGTTCTACAACCCACCATGTGGCTTAAGCTGTAGTGGCCTGCAGCAATTGTGTGAACTGGGCCTGTGAGTAAGGGGCAAGAACTGGCTCCTGTGGCTTTTGCTTTTTTCTATACCACCAGACAAGCTTTGGCTTTGATTCTTGACTCAATATGAGGTCATATTCTATCTGTTCCACTGATTGACAGAGCTTTGATTCCCAGAGTAAACTATCTCAGGTGATGGGATAGAAATAGAAAGTAGGCCTTTCATTGTCTGGACTATACATTACTGCCTCCTTTAAGCAGGAGAGAGTGATTGCAATCTCTTCTTGGATCCTCAAGTATGTTTAAACAAAGCTGTCACAACAATGTTTTGGCACTGCAGCATGGTCTAAAATAGAAGCTTGTAGAACATCTGATGCCAGATTCTTCTTTGGCCCCTTTAATCTTTTGGCATTGGAGTCTCTTCTATGCTACATTTGAGACTGTTACACATGAAGGGAAATGTTCAGTGCCAGCAACGGCACTGTGTGGAAAGGGAGTAGGGTCTAGTCGCCAGGGGAGCTAGGAGGCGAGATCTGCATTCAGAGCCAGCGGCGCTTGCCAGTGGCTCTGGATGATTAGATCAAACGAAGCAACTTCCAGGCATAGCACTCTAAGGTTTCTCCCCTCAATTTCTCATTTATAAAAGGAGTCTGATACTTTCCTCGAATATCAAAGTTGAGATTAATATTTGAGACTAATTTAATGCAAATGATAGGTAACTGGTTAGCTTTATGCATAGTTTCATCAGCACTAACCAGTAAAGAATTGGGTTTGTCTGGGTCTTCCAATTCATCTGTCCTCAGGTTTCATGTCTCTTAAATTTTCTTGAAGAAAGTGTGCTAAATCATGATGTTTAATCACTACAGAAATACGATGTTGGTACCTCAGATGTTCTCTCAGATAAGAGGTTCTCCAGATTCCCTGCATCACTCTAATTTTGGGGCGTAAAAACATTGCTCCATCCAAACCCAGGTGTCATTGGTTGCCTTTCATTGAACTTATATTGGTCCAAGTAACAATAAACAACCACCTGACCCCACCCACTGTGAAAGAGGGAAAAGCATATCTGCATTTGTGGATTTCCATGCCTTAAGCATCTGCCCCTTAGGGCCAAATTGGCTCATAAGGTTTATTCAAGCAAGAATCAACACTTGAATTATTCATGCTGTTGGCCTAAACATAACGGTTTGCCTAAGCTGACCACACCTGCAGCCTAGTACTAACTGGACCAACTGCTTGTTCGGGCCTCCTAAATCCTGCCAAAACCTCCCCATGTCTGTTACACAGAGTATATGTCACTGGCCTAATAGTCCAGGAACCTGACTGATAATCTAAGATTCACATGCCTCTTACCAAGGATTTTTGGATGAAGGCTTTTAACATTTCCTTCACAGCAAGACTCAGTTGTGCATCTAAAACCTGCTCAGATGGCATATGCAACAGTTAGTAGAGCTGTGCATGGAAAATTTGTGCATGATTTGTAATCCATTTATATAGTAAACAATGTGATTTTTATTCCAAAGTGCAAACATGTGCAAGTAATTTTTTTGCGGGGGGGGGGGGGACCTTTATTCCTATTATTACTATACCTGAGCCACAGGTTGACTTAAGAATATTGATTTTCTCTTCAGTGTGTTAGTATATTCCAGGACCCCACTTAGAGGAGCAGTTTTTCTTCTTCTTCTAAAGCCTTATTATATATTAGTACATTGACACTGTTTTATTTTTAATGTTCAGTTAAATCTCCTGTGCTTGGCAATGTTGCAAGCCTCCCAGAAATACAATACTTATTCTCTACTTTATTAATTTAATTGTATATGCCGCCTTTCTGCCAGCCTCACTTAAACATGGTTCTGAAATTAGTACATAAAAATACATGCATAAAAGAACAGATAAAAACTGATCAAGGTGCTAGAGAGACAGATAAACCAGTGAAAACACATCTTTACTCTCATAGGTCAAAGGCTTAATTCTTGGGTGGGGGCATTTCTAAAATTGAGGTGCAGTCACCAGAAAGGCTCCTCTGATGCTGCAGCCAGAACTTATAGCAGGGTCTCTCTGGATGATTAATCAGCTACAAAGACTAGCTCATGTTGTTCTCAATGCAGTTAATGGGGCATCTTTGAGAAGGTGATAGCAGATGCCTGCAGCCTGAGAAGACTAAACATACAGTTCTTCCCAGTGGCGATCCCAGCATGGAAGTGTGGCTAAATTCAGGCTCAGATTCCTTACTTTGTAGACAGGCGCTTCTGATTCAAGAGAAAAACCCCCAAGTAAACATCCTCTGAAATAACCTATCTGCAGCAATAAAGGCAAACTCATCACAAGAGCCAGTGCAACCAAACAAGAAAAAATGGTTCTGACTGTATATTATCTACCAGTCTGAGCAATACTTTGTTTTTTCCCAAGCTTCTGCAGAGTGTATAAGCAACCAATTGGATGCAAGTATGTTTATGTTTTCCTGCCCTAGATCAAGGCATTATTGGGATGGGAAGGACCATGACATTGAACCTGGGATGCCCAGACATTAACACAAAAATATCATAAACACTTTAAAGGTGATAGCTGGTAACTTGGACCTGCAAGTTCCTTCCAAATCAGTAAGGCTCATTCTAAACTACCTTTGTGTGTGCACCATACATGTAGAATTAACTGATAGTTCTATTTTGTTAGGGGCAAAATCTAATTGTCCAAGAAAACAGGAAAAGTCATAGGCAGAATTTAATTTATTATTGCTGCTGCTGTTGCTGTCGTAGTTTAGCAATTGGCAATTACAAAGCTCCAAGAAAAAGGATTAAATTTAAGGAATTAACTCAAATAGTAGTAGTAGAAGAAGAAAGGCTTTAAATTTACTCAGCATCTATTACACAATCAAATGCATTCTGCTCAATAAAACCTAGTCATGACCTGTCTGGTAATTGCACTCTCATACACAAACCTGTACCACTTTCTGAATTTGATCATTTAGAGAACAGCAACATTCTCTACTGAATGGGTGCTGCCCTGATATATAAGAAATAGTTTGAAACAAGCCCTGTTGTACTACTCTGCTACTGAGGTCCCTTGCTGGAGATCAGCAGATCCTTTCACCTCAGTGGTCCTGCATTAGTACACCTTAGCACCCAGTCTCACTTCTTTCTTTTTTAAAAGCAAGGCATGAAACACTGAAGCCCCATTCCTCTTTTTCTCTTTGTCCATTGATAATGAGGCCTGCATATTGGCAGTTGGCAATGCTTGTGAATCTTGTCCTATAGACAAATGAGGTTGGTAAATACACTGCATAGTTATTTGGGTAAGTCTTGGAGGAAGCAAGAAGGCTGGCAGGTTCCTCCTGCTTCTGCCCTGTCTTTTTCCATCTTTCTGTGCTATAGAGTTTGCAGTACTAAGTGGCAGAAAACTACTTCTGGTTTGAAACATAGGTGGGGCTGGCACTCTTGACTTCTCAATAGCTGATGGGCAAGTACTCATATGAATCAATAGCCAAAGAGGGAGGTGCTATTTGACTCTCTGCTCACCAGCTAAATTTGGTTCTTGGCCTGAATCAGCTTCAAGTTCCTATTGAGCACATCAGTGTAGGGATATGACTGTTAAATCTATTCCCAGGGAAATTGATTCAGGTCATTGTGTCCTGGGCCTCTGGCAAAGCTGCTTTGCCCTTCATCTTCTACGCCGCTGTTGCATCATGGCCGAAGGGCTTCAAAACCAGTATGCAACTGCTGGGCCTATCAGTTGGACACTGAGGGTGAGCCTCCTGCAGAAAACAACTAGCTGGTGTTAAAGCAAGCCGTCACTCTTCAAGACTCAAGAAAGACCAGTGCTCAAGCTGTTTCTCTGAGTCACATGTTAATTCATTCAGCCTGCACTATCCATAACTGCTTGAGAGTTTTGTTTTGAGGACACTAAAGACTTCAGCAGAAGATGCTCTAGTTCATTCCTGCCTTGATACCATTTAATTTTGTTTGTTTTTATTCTTATAATATGCTGTAAATTACTTCCACCCAAAATGAAAATGTCTTCATTCTGTTGTGTTCATAACTTAGAGGAGGATGTTCTCATAGAATCATAGAATCATGCAGTTGTAAGGGAGTCCAACCACTGCTCAGTGCAGCATTCAAGTCACCCACCCAGATTTCCACCAGGCCCAACCCTGCTTAGCTGCCAAGATTAAGCAGGATCAGGCACTTCAGGCTTGATGTGTGTCTCTTCTCCCCTGCCACTTATTTCTTAATTTTGGTGCCATGCTTCAGAGCCTTATCAATACAGTAGTGGAGGGACATTTCACTTGCTTATTAATGGCAACCATCCTAAGTCTGATATGGGGGTGGGGGGACGAGAGAAAGTGCGCGCTCTTGCAATGTTTGCCTATCTAGTTGGGAACTTGGGGTACTTTGGTTCAAATTACATAGCCTTTTGAATATTATCCTACTGTTTTGCCACAATTTAACTTGCATCAACTGAAAAAAAGGAAGTAGCTCTGAAGACCAGCAAGCACAGGAGAGAAGGGGATGGGGGAGAACAGCACCAAGGGAACAGCACCAAGTAGAATGCCATTGTCATCTATCTTGTTCTTTTTCAGTCTGTGAGAAAAGTTGGGCTGTGTTTATTTTTATTTCAAAGAAACTTCAACAAACTTTCATTTTGGGGGCAGGCTGTGGGCATGGGATGGGGGAACTGACATTCTATAGGCTACTATTGAGGATATTATGGGAAAGGCTTTGCTCCTCCCAACCCAGTTGTAACTGTGATGTACTTTTCCTGTAAATCATGCCCTACTTTGCATATTTCTTGGGTTTAGTGTTTAATTCTCATGAAGTTTATCATGGCCATCCTCCAATCCTCCATGCTCCCTTCTCTTTCTTGTATGTTCTGATCAAGAGGACACTTCCTGCTTTCTCAAACCTGTTTGCCATAGCATCTGAACTTACAAACTATGACCATAGTAAGTTTTTCAAGCTGCATTTACTGGTCTGGACATTGTAGCAAACTGTGGTTTGACAAAGTGGGAGATAGCCTGTTGAAAAGAGCTGAGATGACAAACGAACTGACTGGACTGGTAGTTAAATTCCTGCTCAGTACTGGTAATAGGGTGGCACCTGAAGATAACAGGCTTGCTTATGGGGCCATGGGCAGGTCACGTAGCACACAGTGCTTGCCCTCTACACCTTAATGTCACCTCTCCATATCTGCCACCCTAGGTGGCCACCTTGCCCTGCTAGATGTGGTACCATTCATCCTGAAGGGAATGGTGTCTGTACATGGCCACTCCGTGGTTCCTTAAACCTTGGTTTGGAGATCAGAGAATCTGATACCTACAAATAGCCTCCATAAGACAGAATAATATTCATTCTCTCTGCTGTGGCTTCTTTATGACTCTCTGGTGACTTTTCTGGCAATATGAGTGAATGTAGCATGCCAACCCATTTATTTAGCTGAGCAGTTGATTTTAAGTCTATGAGTTCAAGATTTTTGTGTACTTATCCTCTGGTTTTCCTCCTGTTGGTGTTGAGTATTTCTTCTACAGTTCATGGTACTGTTGTTCACTTCACATTCCTTTTCTGGTGTACAGCTACTTTATATATGTATGTGTCATGAAGTATCTTTATTGGTATTAAGGTGGCACTGGAACTGACAGTGACTCAAAATAAAGTATTAGATGGGGAGTAGTTTGCTACTTTCTTTTTATTTTCTAGGTTTGTTTGAACCTAATGCTTTGTAGGAGTCTCTCTGACTTCCTTACCAAGCTTTTTGCCTCAATCTAAGGCATAGCCTTTTCTTCTCATACAACATTCCAGCTCACAGAATGAATTTATGATGAAGTTTGGCTATGCTATCTTTTTAAAAAAGTTATTTATTTCTGTCGATATAGTCATTCAAGCTGGCCTACAACAAGAATTTTTTTTAAAAAATCATTTACAGTAAACACAAAAGGCAAGAAGCAAGAGCTGCTAAGGAGTTGATTCTATGTAAGAGCTATTGGAAAATAGACTGCCTTGGAAAGCTTGACTTGAATCAAAAGTTGTTGCCAAAGAGATAACTATGTAAGAGCCTATGCCCAAAGACAGTATTCTAAAGCTTGGTTTCCACCACAGAAAAGATATTGACCCTTCACCTCTTGGTTGTGGGGGCATCCAGAGCAGGCCCTCAGCAGAAGACCTAAGGCATGGGCCAGTTCATATGGGAGTAAGTGGTCGTACACAACTTTAAAAGTTGAAACTGGGACTTGGAATTGTACTGGGAAGCAAACTGGTAATCACTTTGTTCTTTACTCACTAGCAAAATAGCTCTAGTGAACCCCGTTGTTATTCTGCCTGTGTGTGCTGAACCAGCTGACATTTCTGAATGTTGTTTTTAGGCAACCCCCCAAGTAAGGCTTTGGACAGTACCCAAGCTTTGAAATCCATGCTAGGTTAGGTTTTCATAACAGGGTTGTAGCTAGCTTATGATCTTAGCTCTGTCAAAGTCAGTTGAGGTACAAATGCCACTTGGGTATCTGGTGAATACAGTAGTATCTCCACACTGTGGACCTGGCCTTTTCAGGGGAAGAGGTGAAGCTGCAAATCAGCTGGATAATAACTCCCTGATCAACCTGCTAATAGAAACTCTGTATTCCCTGAATTGGGCTTTGGTTTATTGGCTCCCGTTGGTCTCATCTCTGTGCCTATACACCTCTTTAGAATCATAGAATAGAATAGTAGAGTTGGAAGGGGCCATGAAGGCCATTGAGTCCAACCCTCTGCTGTGGCAGGACACCAATTTACACCATCCTACTCAGATGGCTGTCCATTTTCTTTTTGAATGTCTCTGGTGTGAGAGAGCCCACCACCTCTTCAGGCAGCTGATACCACAGAACATGCACTGTTTCACCTAAAATGGATGAAAAGGTGAAATAGAGCTGGGAGTCTTCAACATTTTATTGGCACTTCACTCCGAATCTTTACATGATTACCACCACTGTACAGGTTACAATACTTGGAAGATTGAATGGATCCTATGACTTCCCAAAACATAATCCCATGGGGCAGAATAGAAATTCCCCAGGTCTATCTTCTGGAATAGGTTTACAAGATAGAAATGGAAACAGTAGAGGATGGTGCCTCTGATTCCCATATCCAGTAAATGTCCTAAAAGGATATCAAGATTAATGGTATCCCATGCTAATAGGCCAGGGGAATCAATGAGGTTCTGGGTTCTCTGTGTGTGTGTGTGTGCGCATGCACCTCTGTCTCATTCATGCTGTCTCTTAGTGAAGGTTTATCTATTACGGCAACCAGGGCAGCATCAGTAGCAAAACTCAGCCAGAAGCCAGAAGATTGATTTTAATAAGAAATATCTGAAGCTGGGCATGGATCACCTGCTCAAGCAGCTTGCTTCAAAGAAGGGGGATCACAAGTGCAGTCAGTCATTCAGACAGGAAAACTGGCAAGGGAGGTAACATCCTATATACAGAAACGTTGTCTTCCTGACCAGTGGACCTGAGCCAATGTTGCACCTAGGTAGATTGAGACAGACTCATTTAAGGAAAATACCTTAGGAAGTGTTTGATTCTTTATTTTATTTTTTATTAATTATATTTATATACCACCACCCTGGTCCCCTGGGTCCAGGTTTGGCTTTTTTAGGAGTGGTTTTATCACCACCTCCTTTAAGGAGGCTGGAACTACTCACTTTCTCAATGAGGCATTGACAGCCTCCTGGACCCAAGTGCTCATTCCCTTCTTAGTTCTCCCAATATGCCAGGAAGAGAAGAGTCACACATACACATGGTGGGTCAGATCCAACCAAGCACCTTGTCCACATCCTCAGGCTTCAATAGCTGAAACTTATCCAGCAAAACTGAACCAGATGATGTTCTGGATACCTCTGTTATTGGAACTGTATTAATTGTGGAGTCCAACTCACAACGAATCCCAAATGACTTTATCTTCAAAATGTCGAGCAAATTCATCACACCAGCTACTGAGAGTTCCATAACCTCTCCAGCTGGATGACACTGTGAAGACACAAAGCTGGTAACAAAGAAATGTCGCTTTGCCACCTTCTCCACCACAGAATAGGCTCGATAAGGAGCCCTTAGTGTTTGTCAGAATCATTCCAAGTTTTCCTCCACTTGAGCTCTAGCCATCTCCTCCCTTGCTTCATTGCCATCAGATCAATTGTATACCAGGGGCCTGACCAGGCTCTGCTCAAGGGGATTGCATGTGAATGTGTCAAACTCTATTTCACAGAGCTTCAACAGGATTCTTTGGCCTGATGGGAGTTACTGTACCTCCATAACTATGCACAGAGGCCTTCTGTGCAGGAGTGGTTGAACAGCAGATTAGTAAATCTCTAATTCAGAACCAGTACAATGTAGTGGTTGAAGTGTTAGACTAAAACTGAATAGGAAGAGTGAGACACCATATGTGTCACTTTGAGCTCCCAGGAGGAAAGGTGGGCTGTAAAGAAACACAACTCTAAAAACATAAGCAGGAAGGTAGAAATCCTTGGTTGCAAAATAATCAGGAGTGCTTTAGTGAGGGAAGAGGTATTGTAACTTTTGTTTACAGTATCTTTACTCTTCAGTTAGGGAGGCTCCCAAATGATCTTACAGATCAATAAAAGCAGGACAACCCTGCCCTCAGGCTTACAAACGAGAAAGGCATGCCATAGAACAAGGAGTTGGGGGTGAGTGGGAGGAGAAAGACATGAAAACTCAAGGCAGCAGTTCTTTAACATTATACTTGTCTTATCATGAACAGTTGCAATGTAGATAGGCTGCACAGATTTTAAAACAGACAAACAAACAAAGCAAAACAGGCCTTGGTAGGCCTAAGTATGGTGACCTGACATTCCTTAAAATGGCTGCAGCTGGAAGTTGTTGGCCTTACAGGGTGGGGCCTTGGCCTTCTGGGGCCCAGTTGGAAACTGCCAGGTTCTTGTCACTTCAGCCACATACTAATACCCCGATCAAATGATCCTGCAGGCCTTCTTCACTGAGCAGTTGGCTCCTGCAGCCTCCGTGGGCAGGGACGAGGGGCCCAGCTGGTAAAAGTAGTGTCAAGGGAGCCAGTTTGCTTCTGCATGCTGCTTCGGTTTATATCACATTGGTTTATATCACATTGGTAGTGCTTGTGCAAAGCCCATGAAAGCTGTATTTGTGATACCAGATAATGTCCTATACAGGAGAATAATTGCATTTTTTGGGGTGAAAAGAATAACTGAGAGTGTCTGCAAAACCCAGTATCCCTTTATCAGAAGCAGAGCTGCATATGGACCATGTGATAACCTGCATATATGTTCTGTCAAAACTCTGTTATTTGGAAAGGACCCAATAGGGGTTTGTGTACTACTCTTAAAAAAAAGAACTGCTACACGTAGCTGGCTATGGCCACGGCTAAAAAAGTGGTGCTGAACTGAAGTGAATGTACTGTATGGTCCTTCCAGCACAAGAATGCAATCTGTATGTATGAAATGCTGCCTGATGGACCAAGAAGTGGTGACTTGAATACCAGTGCAGAATTTTATGTATTGATACGCCTGCTCAAGAGTCATAGATTCTGAAAAGGTAGAAGATGTTTCTGGGAAGGAAGGAACAATATGCAATCCTAAGGGACAAAAAGGGAAATATTATTTGGAAAGAAGGGGTTCAGTAGCTGTGTTTTCTGTGAAAAGGCAATATTATTGATTTATTTTATTTTATTTATATCCCACCTTTTTCTTGTCAAGGAACTCAAGTCAGTTTACACAATTCTCCTCCTCCTCTCAATCCTTACAACAAACACCCTGTCAGGGTGAGAGTCTGTGACTTAACCAGAATCATCCAGCTGGCTCCATGGCTGAGTGGGGACTAGAACCCAGATCTCCTGAGTCCCAGTCCCACACCTTTAACCCACTGCATCACACTGGCTCTCAGTATAAACCTCTGCAAGCATGGTAAGACATCCTAGCACTTGGCAACGTAAGTGCTTGAAGCTAAAAGATAATGCCTTAGAGAAACAGCTGAAGCCCATCATGCCCTTGGAGTGCTTCTCAATACTATGGTATTCACTTGAACATTAACTCTATTGGATGACTCCTCAAAGACATGGGAGGCTCTTGGAAGAATCTGAGAAGCCCCGAGTCTTGTTCAGAAGCACTGGGTGCTTTGACCATGGACTGATGTTTGAAAAGGGGACTTCTGGTTAATACATTCCTTTCCTGGTGACAGCTGATGTGGAAGTGCACTTAGAAATGTGATGGTCTATGCAATTGCCTTTATACTTCAGATAAAACTTAATGAGATGAGGAAAAATGTCAGGGCCTATATAAGGGAATTTGTAACTCTTTGTCATGGAGCTTTTCTAAAGAAATTGGGACGACTGTTGGCGCACTGCAAGTAAAGTAAGAGGGAACCTTATGAAGCTGTAACATGCATAATGAAATAGAACTCTGAATATAAGAAAATGAACCATATTCTAGAAATGAGATGGTCCAGCATTCTTCTGAGTTGAATAACATTAGAGATCATTCATGGAAGTGGCGCAGAAATGAACTGTTGTGATTGTATTGGTGCTGGGCCAATCTGTATTGCCTTCATTGTGTGTGGGAAGCAAGGAATAGTCTCTTTGTGACAGGTTCTTGCTGACACTGTAACACAGCTTTCTCAACCTAGTGTTCTCTAGTTGTATTGGACTACAACTCCCAACACTTCCTACGTAGCCATGCTGCTTTGAGATGTTGGGAATTGTAGTCTTAACACATCTGGAGGACATCTAGATAGGGAAGCCTGCTGTAACATGTAGCATCTGGCCACTTCTAGTGTGAAGTTTTTCGACACTCTGGCTGCCACCAGGTATAGGCTACACTAGCACAGAAATTGCATCTGGCAGTACAAAAGCACTAACCATATTCAATAAGATACATAAACATGGCTCCTACTTGTACTGGACAAATGTCTGCTTTAGAAAGTTGAGGAAACAATGAGGGACTAGCTATTTTTAGATCAGAATCTGACTAACAGGAAGGAAATGTTTGAGACTGTGAAAACAGTTGGCCATATAAGAGAAAGTAACCATGAACTGTTGGAAGTCCATGATTCTAAAATAGGAAGAGGAAAGGCAGCAAAATAGCAGGGTATGTTAATAGCTGAAAACTTCACAAAACTTGAGATTTAGGTTGCAATGACTGGAACAGGGATTTAAAAAAAAGAGAGAGAATCCATTAAAGACTGGTGTTCTTTCTTGAAAGGATTAAAGCAGGAAATAGGACCTCCAAAACAAGGTTGAAAGAAAATTAGGCTATCTTAAAATTGGCCTCCTTAATAGTGCAAATGGGGACATCCTGCCTGGCTTTTGAAAATTTGCCTGCATCATAAAACTGGCAAACCCTGAGAAAAAGGAAATTCCATCATGGAAAGCGCAGCTGGCTGGAACACCTGTGTGTCCTGCGTGAACCATCATGCTTAGGCGGCAGGAAAACATGCTGTGGTCAGCTGGGAATCTCTCTGGTGCCAGCCAAGGACATTACACTGCATGCAGAGGAGCCTAAACGCGTGCGTGTGCGCGCACCCCCCCCCCGCGACTTGCCCTGGCCTGACCTATGCTCTAAAATTGTTTGCTACAACATTCAAACACCTCCTGCATTCATCTCACTCCTAATCTGCCCACTCACCCAGGGCTGCCTGAAGCGGGATGTTTCACCTTGTTGCTTGGCAGAACCATCCCTGAATCTCTCCTCTATGATGTAGGTAGGGTGGCATGGAGGGCTTATACTGTATGAAGCCCAAATATATAAACAATCTATATTTCTTTTTGCAAAGGCGTAGGAAGTCAGTCCTGACCTTGCAATGCTATCATTATTGGTCTTGGAGACTGTCCTTATTCCCTCAAGAAATGCCCCACCCTGCTTTGCACAAATCTTATCCAGTTGCAGGGCTCTCGGCAGCATCTCAGCTGCAGCAGCACCCTTGCCTTACCTTGGTGATGGTGACAGTACAGCCTTAGCAGCAGCAAAGAAATGCTGATCGAGCCAGCTAGTAGCACTCCTGGTGCCATCATTTTATTTTCCACACACTGGTTGTGGGCTCAATTGTAACTAGAAAAGGGACATCAGATTTGCATGAATCCACTTCGCAAATTCCTCAGTAGACCTGCTGTAAGTACCATGGAATCTGTGGGTTCTGTGTTCTGTAGGGCAGTTTTTCTTTTTTTGCAGAGGAGTGCACATTAGTGCAAATGTGCATTAGCACTAATGCAGATTAGCACAAACAGAGGAAAATTCTAGTAGAAACAATCTGATACTGTCCGTGAGCAGATGACAGTGTGAAAGAGACTTAACAATCCACAAAACACTGATAGAACACATTTAATCTGTACAGCCTAAAGCTGGAGCAACACTGGTTTCCTGTAGGTTAACAAGCAGAAATATAGATCTTCATGCTGTTTGAGTCCCTGAAGCAGGTTGCTATGTTAGGGCAGCAGCAGGACAGGTGATGCAACCTCTTGAGGACTTTGTCCATTGGCAATTGCCTGATGCCACCAACCTCTAACACTAGGCCTGAGTGCTCATGTTGATGCTAGAAAGATGTTTGCCATGTCTGTAGTTGTGAATGCGAGGGAAAAAGTGGAAAACTTTAGGAAAAAAATTCTTGAATTGTCCCTTTTTGGGGAGGATCTTCACATCTCTCACCTTGTTTGAAAGGGGGTAATGACTCCCCGTTGAATGAATTTGGTGAACAGTACTGCTGCAGATGCTAAACAATCAAAGAGCAATCTGAAATGATCAGATAATCCAAGGTTGGCAACCTGGTACCCTCTAGATACCTTAGACTGTATTTCCCATAAGCCCCAGCTACTATACCCAATGGTTAGGGATTCTGGGAGTTGTAGTTCAAAGTATCTGAGGACACCAGGTTGCTTACCCCGAAGTAATCTCCTGTTGAGCATATGAACCATCATTTCTTCGGGCTTGTCTGCCTTCATATTCACTTGGGCTATTGGCTCATACACCTTCAAAGAAGTTGTGGCTCCAGACAATACCTCCCTCTTCAGCACCATGCTTGAATGATCAATTTTCTCCCTGTCCACATTCTTCATTATCCAGCTTTCACTCCCATGCATAGTGATCAGGAATACAACAGGCCAGGGCTGGGATGAACCTTTCTGGAATCTATCCTTCCAGAGTCTGCGGACTTCCTCTTGTTCTTGGCCCAGTTCTGCAAAGCAGGCTGAGCCAAGAGGAAGTCCACAATGCTGGCAGACCTCCAACTGCGCAACTGGCAACCTTCTCCATCAGGAGTGGTTGCAGGATGCTAGGGAGTTGTGAGCAGGCACACCAGCCACCGTTTCCACTGATCAGCCTTCTTCTCCGCTCACTGCTGCCCACAGCAGCATGCACAGAAGAATGGTGCTGCTTGAGCAGAGCCTAGGGCTCAATGCCTGGACGAACACTGGGCACACCCCAGGAATGCTGGGCCGCTGCAAAGCCGACTCGAGTCTGGGAAGTCAAAACCGGAACATCCAATGGCTTTTCCACACAAAATGGATTTCTTCAACATCCCCAATCCTTGCTTTGGTCTCCAGTTAAACTTCCTTACACTTGATCATCTTTTCTAGTTCCTTCATTGCTGCCCTTCCAAACCTCAGTCTTCAAATTTCTTGGCTGCAGTCTCAATTTGAATTGAGGACTGAGCCAACACAAATAGTAGATGCTCTTCTGTCAGGGACAGTCACATAATTTTGATCCAGACTTGCTAGCTGATGCTCAGAAAGTAGCATATAAAAGAATGCTTTTGATCCCTTTCTGCTCTTGAGGATTTGAGATAGTAGACTGATGCCTGAGCATCCTTTGAAGGGAAATTATCTTTATCTCCTCTACTGGGTATAGCAGTAATTCCTCCTAAGATTATGGTTTTCTTGAGAAATTAGTCTGGCAATGTGAAGCCTTATGCTTCCTCTGATAGTTCATCATACCCAAATACAATTGGATCTTTCATCACATCTGTCCCAATTTAATGGAGAATTTAATGGGTTAGAGTACTTGCTTGCTTCTATGTCATCCCAAGTTCAGGTTTTGCTGAACTTGGAGTGGAGTCTTCTTATCCCCTGAAAGGTATGGTCAATTTCTTCATCCTTATGCACAAACATGTGGGTTCCAGCACAGTCTGTTGGTGCCCACTGAGAGTGCTGTGAAGCTGCACGTGCTGAAGCCTGTACCAAATTGGCAGTTACCTGTGTCTGTCATGGTGTGTCTGTCACGCCTTGTTATCTTGTTGGCCTCCATGCACAGGAGGTGAAAACAAGCAGCTTTTTCCATCAGTGGGCATGTCCTTTGGGACTGGGAACTAAACCTGAATACATTACCTTAAATCTGCATTAATCAATTCTTTTAATACCATAGGACAGAAAGATATCCATCCTTGGTAAGTGTGTGCTTCTTGTAGAAGCATAGAATTATAGAATATTAAGAGTTGGAAGGGGCCATGAAGGCCATCAGATCCAACCCCCTGCTGTTGCAGGACACCAGTTTACACCATCACACTTCTTGAACTGGCTTGACTTTTGCTGGGGACTTGCTCTGCTTTTAAAGAGCTGACTCCTCCTCTTTGGATGCTTCCTTTTATCTAAGTAATTTCAAGTCAGTTTTCATCATCTACCTACATATATTTACTGCATATGCATCTACTACCCAGCCGTAATAGTGTGATATACATATCACCAGAAAAGAGGACAAAAGATGCCACACATGTGCATAATATAGAAATAATGACTAAAATTGGAAATATAGCACGCCTGCTCTTTTTTCTGTCTGGGTGCTAACCATTGATAGACAACTTCAGTGCCCTTCCCTGGTTTCCCTTCCTAAGATTCTTTATCTTTAAACCAAACTTGGACTAGACCATTGTTCAAATAGAGGACTGCGCCCTGTAAATTGGGGCTGTCAAAGCATAACAAGGAGCCCATGCAGGCTTTTTCATTCTGACGGGACAAACAGTTTTGCACTGCACCAGCTTGAGGCTTGTTTTTCGCTTTTTGTGCGGTCTTTCTCTTCCTCTCTTGCTTCTGAGCAACAGGAGATGCACACTGCTTGGAAACAAGCAAACACAGATTGCCTAATCATGGAGGCTGGCCTGCCTTGGACAAGCGTTTGCAGAGACTAGGGGAAGATCCCGGACAGCCTTTTGTGATAGGCCTGTGAATGAGCCACCTTTGTGACTGGCAGTATCTTCCTCCCCATCCCCCTCATTTCTCTTTGCTCTGCTATCATGTGCTTCCTTGCCCCACCACCCCTCCCCCCAGCATGCTGATGGCAATCATTGTTTTGTAACCAGCTGCCCCACTTACAGAACAGTTCTCTGGACTCCAGAGCAATGAGTCGCTGCTGAGGGGAGGTGGCTTGCACAGCATCTGGACTGGATCTCTCTGTGTAATCTCCGGACAGAAATCCACATTGCCTTGGTACAACTCAGCCCTCCAACTTGGAATCTCAGGAATTTGGGAGGTGGTGGATCTTCAAGGCAGACTCTGCTGCTGTGTTTAAGGCACTGGCTGGTGTTTCCAGAGGGGCTTTTCTAGCACTATGGTGGATCCCTTCCATTGGGTATAACGTGGTCCATACTGATGCAGTCGAGGGAAAGGGAAAGAAGGCGAAACAGGCGTGCCTTGGAGCTGCGCTCAGCCCTGCACTGGCTGGGGACTCTCTTTGGTTTCCAGGACAAGTTGAGCTCCAGGCGGGGGCCGTGTTTGCTTTCACCACCCGGGGCAAAGTCCCCCATGAGCTGTCGGTTCTGTCCTTCCCCACCACCCGTTATGACCTCTTAACTGTACACTTGTACCCACGGAAATAACAAGGTCACCTGGTGGATCCCTGGGGTTGAGGGCCACCGAATGGATGGTAAGGAACTATTGGATAGTAAATGGGGTGAGAGGCTACTGGCTTGATTCTTTTCCTTTTTCCATCTGCAATGTTAGACAGTCCTGTTTCTTGCAAGGATTGTATGCTGAGAGAGGGGTTCAGAGTGGGAAGGCACATAGGGATTTAAAGATCATACCTATGATGCTGAATCTAGCCCAATAAATTCTTGGAGCAACAAGGTCTATACTTTTCATATGAAGCCTTGCAGCAAATTGACTGTTCCAACTAACTATATGCTCCAATTTAAAAAGTTAGCCTTGGGGGAGACATCCATGCTGAATTATGTTTCTGCTAACTTATGAATTTATCCCCTTTTCTTTCCAATCAGAGTACCTTCAGTGCTGAACAAAAGATGCTCAGAGCAGTTGCTTTCTTTCTGAGACTACTGTAGCTGCTTATACTACATTAAAGCAGTGTAGTTCTGGGTATTGCCTTTTTCTCTTGTTCCTATAATGCTAATTGTTTGAATGCTAATAGGAATGAAGAACCTGCCAGTTCATAGCAAATACTATGCCCAGACCCTCAAAACCCAAGAATGTTGGTCTCGTAAGTGAGGGAAGGTTCAGCTAGGGCAGATCTGAGAACTTATGCGAGTGTAAGCATATACCTTTCTGGTAAGCCTTCTGCAGCTAATTCTGATGGCTTTCACACAATCCACTAGAGCCAATTGCATTTACATAAAATTGGAAATAGGAGGCTGCCAGGCCACTGGCCCATCTAGTCCAGTATTTTCAGCACTGACTCACAGGCACTCCAGAGCTTCAGATAGGAGCTTTTCCAGCTATACCTGGAGATGCAATGGATCAAGCACAGGACCTTCTGCATGCACAGCAGGAGCTCTGCCTCTGGTTATGCACCTGCCCTAGATAGCTAGCCCTCCCGCTTGCTTAAAGATTCTGAATGGTTATTTGCTGTAATGAGGCAAACTGTTATTTTTTGACATTCCTCCAATACTTTGTTAGTATTCAGAAATCTCACAAGTGTTTTCCCCTTAGGATTAAAAAGAGTACTGAGAGTGGTTGGGCTGGATTTTCATGAGGACTGCAGGAGGCGGGGGTTAAACTTTCCCTCTCTAATCCCGCTATTAATATTGACTGGCACTTTACAGTTTGGCACTCAGAGGTGAATGCCTAGGCCCTTTTTGGTTGCTCATACCTGCATGGAAGTTGTACCTTCTGGCCCAGTAACTTAATCCCAGTAATGTTGGTGTAGCCTGCATGTATCTATCCAGTGGTGAAGAAAATGCAGTGTGTGTCGTTAGAAGCATTGTCTTCCCTATGACTGACTTCTGACTCAAGATAAGCCATGTCTTTCATGATCTTTTTCATGTATCCCAGCTTTCCTATTTCAGCCTCCAGTTATGTAAAGATCTAGTGTAGTGTGGTGGTTAGTGTTGGACTAGGAATGAGGTTTAAATCCGCACTCAGCCACAATCACTGAATGGGGTTAGCCAAGGTGCAGTATCTCAGCCTAGCCCAACACACAATGTAGATGTGACTAAAATATCAGGGGGTGGGGGAATCAAACCCAAATCCTTCACACCCTTAAAAATAGTTTGCAACCAAAATCAAGTCTGTACATGAAGTAAAGGATCCTAGCCTTTCATAATTCTGTTCTAACTGCAGATGTTGACTTCCAACTCACTGCAAATTTTTCAGAGAGATATTATAGATAGACTTTGCACTTGGCTTAGAATTTAAATTTCCCAGTCTGTGTCCAGATCTTTTGCTGACTGGTTGCCTGTGCTAGAGATACTGCAGTGGCTTCTGATATGACAGCCACTGCACAGTCTTCAGAAGAGGTAGGAAAATGCTGTCCAGTGCACTACCTAAAGACTGAGAGAACTAAGGCTGCCTTTGCTGCTTTGGATCAGGATTTTTCAGATGTTTAAAGATCCCTCTGAGATCATGCAGTAGTTATGTGCCAAAGCCATGATTTGCCTCTCAAGAGACTTGTTAGCCAAATTAATGATGACTTTTTGTTGTTGTTTTGGAAATCTTATGCGAAGGAAAGTCCCCTGGGTTGGAGAATATCTTCATTTAACCCTGCAGTTGCTGACGAGGAGTGAGGTTCAGTTCTAACTTCATAACCAGAGAAATGCCTAACCCATGGGTCCTCAAACTACGGTCCAGGGGCCGGATCCAGCCCACTATGCCCATTTGGACCTGCCGTGCCCACGCACGTGCCCACCTCGCCCCACGCATGGGGAGGCAGCGGTTTGCTCGCTCGGAGAAAACAATCTCCAAGTGAGCAAGCTGCTGCCTTGTGCACCTGCCTCGCCTCGTCTTGCCTCCCCTCCCCGCCCCCGTGCTGGCCCACGTGCACCGCCAGCACCACCTTTCCGGCCCGTGCCCAGCACCGGCACCTTTCAACCGGCCCCCTGGTTAAAAAGTTTGAGGACGCCTGGCCTAACCCATGTAAACCCAGTCGTTAGGATTGGCCTCAGTCCTTTCCCAGAGCAGTTTTTCTGAGTAATGGTCCTATTCTCTCTCTATGAAGTTATGAACATGGACTAATTTGGGGACTCTGGTTTGATGCTATTGGGTACCACAGTGCCCACAAACAGCTCCCTCAGTGCTCATCAGGCTTCCTGCACCGATTTTTATTTTATTTTTTAACTGGGAGGCTGGCATGCTATAAAGTGAAGCACTGCTCTCCAGGTCCATCTCTATTTGGGTTCCAAGCAGTGATGTTGTTTTAGTGCTCAGCCCCATTTGCCTTGTACTTCATGTTTAGGGCAAGCTACTTTTCATCCTGCTGGTTTCCCTTCTGGGGAATAAGTGTTTGTGACTGCATACCATAGCAGCCATTTTAAGAATGGGCAAGCCTCTCCTCACAGAGAGGAGCCATTATGCAAGAGCACCCACAACTTTCAAAATTCCAAATGTGCCACTGGCCCCAAAATGTTGAGACCGCTCTTGATATATTGCAGTGAGAGATGATCCAGCTGTTTTCATGTAGCAGACACTTTTCAAAGGGTGGGGCTGAGGTGGGCATTTATCTTGCATCCTGGGTACTTGGACTGGACTGGAAGAAAGGCTGAATGTGAAGGAAAACCTTGGACAATAGTGGCAGGGGAGATGGAAGTGGGAATGGAGCCCTAGGAAGAATGTGCTGTTGGCAGTTGATTTGCTTCTTACTGGCAGGCTGTAGCAGAGGGGAAAGGTACCAATTCTGTATTAAAGAGAGCAAAGTCTTCCCCACGCTGGGATTGATGGCAGTTCTAGTCTGACACATCTGGAAGGCACCAGCTTGGAGAATTCTGGCATAATATATGTTAATTAAAGTACCAAAACAAAATAACCACTAAAATGCAAAACAAGAAACATTACAATCTCAAAAAAGGAAGGAGGGGAAGGGGAGCAGATTGGCACAAATAATTGTTCAATAAAGGCAGCTTCAAAACACCCCGCTTCTTTAAATGCCTTGAATTTTTTAAACGTAAGGCACATCATCCCAAAACTTCTGTACTGATGCTGGACATGCCTTGCTCCTTCAGTGGTAGTTTAAACCTCTTGGATGATGAGGATTTTGAGCTAAGTCTGACTAAGTGATCCTAATGGGGGCAGGGGCCCTGCATGAGAGGAACAGGCCCTATTCGGACCCTTGGTCTACAAGCTCAGTGCTGGCTGTTGAACGGCTGCACGGCTTTCATGTAGGAGATCTTTGCCAGCCCCACCTAAAGAGGCCAGGGATTTGACTGGCAATGGTTTGCATGCAGAGTGTGTATTCTCCTGCCAGAGTTCCAGCCCATCACTTTTCTGTGGGAAGAGGGAAAAACGAGTATTTTCCTCTGGACAGAATGACTAGTGACCTATGAATTGCTCACCTTTCCTTCACATATGAGTAACCTAATCTTTCTTTTTAGTTTATACCAAAGATGCCAGGTACAGTGATACACAAATGGTGTCCCAGCAGCACTAAAGTGTTTGCTGTAAAGAATTCTTTGACTTTCACCACTAGCATAGACTTATTTTTGAGCTCCCTTTTCCACTGCGTATTTTATCAAGGACTATGGCTTTTCTTAAGCTACAGAGGAAGTTTAAGCACAAAAGGAAATAAATTGAATTTGGAGGTTGGATTCCCCCCCTTCCCCCACCACAAGTATACTCTAACAAAATGAGGTGTAAGAAGATGCAGCTTGTCTGTCAAATGATGCTTCATGTTTGCCATGATCACGAAAACCGTATGCAAATTACGTTGCAAGTGAATTATTGGTGACCTTTCAGCTGCTGCAGTTTCTCAGGGTGCTCCTCAGTGTTGAACAAGATGCTCTCTCTTGGTGAAAAGCTGTTTCTTTGTTCCTCTCTGAGGGGAAGAGAGAAGAGAGGCGAGATGGTGTGTATGATCAGAGCAGCTTCTGCGTGATGAATGAGCTTATAAGTCTGATGGGGAAAATTCTGAAAGTCAAAAGGTTGCATGGAGCTTGGTGCCCTAAAAACGATTGTCTGCTTTCTTGCTTGACGATCCTCGGCTTAGTTTATCTGCCAGCAACATGGGCTAGTTGTGTTTGGATACAGTGGGAGAGGAAGGAGATACCAGAGGCTTTGAAAGATTACTATGACTGCATCTCTATTAGCCCCTATCCTCTGGTGTTTATCTTGGCATAGGTCAGTGTGTTAGGCTCTTGTGCAATTGGACACGGTCGATCAGTTCCATAAGCTGGATTCATAGCGTCTGACCAAACAGACATGAATAGAAAATGCCTTCATAGGTTTCTTTTTTAAGGGGTGCTTTCAACTCGACTGGTGCAATGGAGACCTATTTTTGTGAAAAGAGCTGCTTTTAGCACTTGGTGCTTTTTCAAAATGAGGCACGTTGC